TTATTAAAAAAAAATTTATGCCATATGCATGCATTCTATCAAGTTTTCCTTGCCTTTCCATTACGGCAAATTATTTTTGTAATGGCTAGTTATTGAGACAATAATTTTTAATGTGCCACTTCCTCAACATAGTCAAAATAACGTTTTATTAACGTTGGCAAAGTAACACTTTTTCGACGTTTTTTAATTGCCACATTTTCAACCAACGTTGAAATAACGTTGAATAAGTGTTGTTTTTCAAATAGTTTAAATTCGTTGAAAAAGCGCTAATGACTAATGTTGATAAACTATTACCTTTGCGACGTTTTTACAGTGATTATTTGCATACTTATTTTTAACATTTAATAAACACATTTTTTTGAGAAGATAAGATACGTTTAAATTTATACGCTTATTCAACGTTGAAAATGTAACGTTTAAAAAGCGGTTCGTTTTTAACGTTGATAAAGAATATACTTCGAAACGTTTTTAAAGTGGCTTTTTGCGTAAGTTGATTCCACGTTGAATAAACGTTTTATTTTGAGAGGCTAAATTACGTTACAATTTCAACGCTTATTCAACGTTTCAATTTACCGCGATTTAGTATACAAAAACAGACATTGATTCAACGTTGAAAGCACGTTGTTTTTGTGACTGTAACGCTTTTTTTACGCTGCGACTGGTTTTCAACGTTGATTCAACGCTTACATGTTTGCTGGGATGTTTGTAATATATTTTGTTATTTTATTATATAAAAAGATATTTTTCAGAAAGATTGTTTATTTTTTTACTATATTTTTTGTAACTTTGTTGTGTTGTGCTACATTTGTTCTATACAGCAAGTTTCACAACCTGTCTTTATTTCCACACACTATTTTAGAATATATTTATATTCTGGAATATAATGCTAATTTTTTAATGTAATTTTCATATAGTTGAGTTTTATTTACTTTTATTTATTTACTAGTTAAGTAAGAATTTGTTTTAATTAACTACTTATTAAGTAATTACTAATTAAGATTCTAATTAAGTAAGAATTTGTTAATTAAGTAAGAATTTGTTACTAATTAAGTAAGAATTTGTTGTAAATTTAAGTAATTTAAGTTTTTTGTTGCAAGTTTTGATCAGTTTTATTTTATTTTCATTAAAACTTTTATATTTATAATAAAAATATGCTAGCTTTAATTGCTTAAAAATACAGTGAATTTTTACTTTATAAACTTGGTTAATATCAACCAACATAATGATGTTGGTTGTTATTGTGAGCTTATTTTGTTGGTTGTTATTATGTAGAGATTTTTGTAGATGTGTGTTGAGTTTTTGTTTTTTCTCTTAGTTGTTGTTGTTGTTGCTATATTTTTATTTCTTGGTGGGATACGTATCCCAAGTATGTACCTGTGTATATACACAGGCTTTTGTATATACGTGCTATATATACACGATAAATCTCTATACAAATTTCCTCTTTGCGTTTAGAAATTTATTCTTTATAATATGTTTATTGTAGTAGCAGCATGTTTAAAAATTCTTAATATAACTGTTTAAAAATTATGACATTATTGAGACAAAAATTATGACGTAAATATTGCACCATAATGCTGCAAGTTAGACTAAATTTTCTTTCAATTTTGTCAATTGAAAATGCCTCAACAAAATCAGTATCTTATGATTAAGTAATAAGAGAACTTGCAAATAAAAAAATGCTGCAAACAAAATATTTAAATTTTATTATAGTTATTGTTATTTTTACGAATTAAAATGAATTTATAGTTTTTCTAAAGTTTATTTGTTTTTCATTTCGTTTTAATTATATTTTGGTAATAAGATTTTGGGACCAAAAAATCCACTTAGCTTCAGGCCCCACAAAAGGTTGATTCGCGTCTGTGTATAGGCATATTAATTTTTTTCTTTATTCTTATAAGTTTTTTATTAATTTTTTTTTCCACATTATATGCAGTAAGCCATTACTAGTATTAAGATTTAATAAGAGTCACCCTGCAAAATGTTTATTTTATCAAACCTACCAATTTCAGTTAAGTATAAACAAAAACGTGATAAGGTCTTTTTTTCTTGTCCACTACAGTTGTCACAAAACAAACGTAATGTATAATACTTTGATAGAACTTAGATCAAATAATCATTTAAAAAATTCGCAAGTTCATTAGGTTCTTTATTTCCTCGACCTTTATGGTATATATATATACATAACTTTTTTCTTCGTGATATTTAAACAGGCTGCTACTAGTGCTAAAATAAACTTAAACACTTAATTTTTTCCGCAAATGGTTACTCTAAGTGCACAAAAGTAACACAGTTTGTCTATTAGTATTGAAATGCAGCACATCAAAGATTCCACAATTCCAAAAAAAAAGAACACAAAATGGTTGCAAATCAGCCAAAAGTATCTACGAAATAGGATTATTTGGGTTAAAATCTCTTAAAATACAAAATTTCATGTGATCACCGTTTTTATTTACTAAGTTATGCTCTGTCATAAATCAGAAAAAATCTACTGTAAGCTCCAGATTCATTCTGATTTTTGTCAATAATATATATGAACAATAATTGTTCTAGATAACAAGGGTATGAATACTTCCTGGAAACCTAGTAAAAAGAAGGTTTAAAATAATGAGTATATATATAATATATAATGGAAAAATGAACATCTATAAGAATAAGTTTTATATAACTATATTGCTTTATAACTTTGAAGATATCTTTAAAAACCTCTCAGTAAATTATCTTTTACTTAGATGCATGCATTCAACAACAGCTTTTAGAATAAACCAATATTGATATTTTCAATGTGACAATTTCAAATGTGTAAACATAAAAATACATGTTGATATTTTGAGAGTTATCGTTTTATTAGCTGACAACAGAACAATAACTTCTGATAAATTTCCTATCGTTCAATTACTTTCTATTTATTATGCTTTGATTGTTTTTATTTATTATAGGCAACCCTTGTGCGGGAAAAGCAAATGGAAAATACTTGATTCCCAACGTGTTTGCTTCCTTGCAGTGTTCATCTCAACAAGGAAGCTATGTTCATTGTGCAAATAACCAAATTTTTGATCCAAATTATAATTCTTGCATGGATGCTAAAAACTATAATTTAAATAATTTTTGTATTAATAGACCGGATGGACAATATCGCAATCCTTGGAATTGCAATAATTATATTACTTGTTTCAGTCAAGGAAATTTACGCAAATCCAACATCACATCTTGTGAATTTTCTGAAGTTTATAATCCTTATATCGATTTTTGTGAAGATTCATCACTTTTTCTATGTCGCACTGTTAACATGTGTGAGTATAGTTTTGGTTTTTTACTAACAAAATCCTAAATTTATGTATGGATAAGTAACCAAAAAAAATAAATAAACTTTACATTTTTTTTATTAGAAATTTGAATTTGCCTAACTGAAGCAATTGTAAAAAATTTGAGGCATTGCTCATGTGAGAGTTATTATTATTTTTTAAATTTACTCCTTACAAGGCTGCAAGCAACTATCATTAAGTTAGGAGTTACAAGAAAATAAAGAATAGTGTTAAAGAGCAAGAAAAAAGGCGAGAGAAAACATAAAAATTTGTAGGTTGTATAAAGATCCAAAGGGTTGAAGAAAAAATTACGTGAATAAATATTTTAGGAGCATTCAGAGATAGGTAGAATAAAATAGTGTGGCTTTTCTGAATGACGAGTCAAGTGATAATGAGTTTTGGTTGATGGAGCTTGAGATGATAAATCCTTTAAGTAGCTACCATAGTATTTGTAGAAATATTTATATATATATATATATATATATATATATATATATATATATATATATATATATATATATATATATATATATATATATATATATATATATATATATATTATATATATATATATATATATCCTTATCTTGTAGGCGAAAGAGACTTTTATGGAAAAAAACACTCTTTCATTGTTTGGTAAAAAGCTGCAATAATAATGAATAAAGTTATTTAATTAATAGTGTTTTTGTTTTGTAAAAATTTATTTTTAAAACATGTGCAGAGTGTTGCTATATTGACTTTTGCATTGCCCGCTGCTACAAGAAAGTGCTGCTTTAATGACTATTTTATAGCCTGCTGCTTGAAGGAAGTGCTGCTATATATGGTATCTTTTACAATCCTCAAAGCCTCATTTTATCCTGATCAAGTGAGGTACCATAGAACTAAACAACATGTTTTTTAATTGAAAATCCATTTTTTGGGTCACTGTTTTCATAAGGTAGTGCGCAAGCAAAGTGAAAAGGGATGTAATATTTGGAAACTTAGGTAAGCCCCTATCATTCAAAATTTTAGTCTCAAAATAATTGATTAATGTATTAATATGAAAACTACATAAAAATTTTGAAACTATAGGAAGACCGGCGAGCTGAAAGGATTTTTTCCAGTATGAAGTCTAACATCTTCAAATTGAAACTCATTCTTCAGAGCATTTATAATACTATTCTGGAAGCAATTATATTTAATAAACGTGCCATTCATTTCGTACATTATCATAAACGTCTTTCTTTGATGAACAGGATGGAAAAACTTTACATATAACTACTACCAATGACTTACATGCTTCTTTAGTGAGATTTGAGACATACCCAAGAACGATTGAATTTTTTTAATTAACTGATTCCCAAGGTAATCTCATTTTTTAATAACTTGCAAATGCTTGACTCAAGAAAGTTTTCTTTAAATTTTTTCTTGCCACAGATTTCTAGAGTTTCTGAAAAAAAAGACTTCGCTCTTGTGCCAATATCAATTAACTTTAATGGTTTAAAATATTTTGATTCAATTACATCTGCAAGCATTTGCGTCTCATTAATAGATTTAATGGAACACTCATCAGCAACTCATTAATAGATTTTATTGAATTGCTACCATTATTATTATTTTTATTAACATTTAGAACCTTAGTTTTGATAAACTTCGACCTTAGTACAACAAGAAGTTTCAACATTTCATAAAACAGGTGAACTCTTGATTTAAATGATTAAAATATTTTTAAAAATATTTCAATGTCATTTGCTACAAAAGCAATAAAAGCAATATATGTGAATTGTATTTCAATTTGCAAAATAATTGTAATCCTCTTATATCTTTCAGTAACTCTAACAGGTGTTTTAAAAGATGTAGTTATTGAAAAAAAAATTTATAAAATATTCAAAGATTTTTTTGTTGTTCTAAAATCTGAAAACATTTTCTTTTGAGGTCATACATCTTGTAGAAGAATGTCATTGGATAAAATGTAAAATAATTTTAGTTAGATCTTCTATTTATCGTTATTCCAATCTTCTTGCAGCAGAATGTATAAAGAAAAAGTTAACATCAATTGCAAATGAGTCAATGTTGAATTTTAAACATTAACTCCTGCTCTAAATGCATTATAAATTATATGCATTGTAGTGCTTCCAATACCGGTAGTACCGGTACCGGAATACCGGTATTACCGGACATTTTTAAGTATCGAAATACCGGTATTGGTTTGGCTCAATACCGGTATTAAAAATATATGTAGAGGGCTTATGATATAGCAGGTGCTATCGCCCTCTTTACGTGAAACACTAAAGTAAATGAAATACTTAAAACTTTCATCAACGCTTCCGGTAGGAAAAAGATAACTAGATGAGAAAAGACGTGTTTAAATTGTCTAAAACAAGTAAACAAGTATTCTATGTACTTTATACTTAATATCTAGTTGCCAGCTCATTTCCCAATAGATTTGGTAGGAAATGAGCTAGCAACTAGTCAGCGAACAGCTAGCGTTTAAGACGTATAAAATACGTAGAATACTTGTTTTAGACAATTTAAACACGTCTTTTGTCATCTAGCTATCTTTTTCTTACCGGAAGCGTTGTTTGATCGTGACTGGAAGTTTTAAGTATTCCATTTACTTTCGTGTTTTCATTAAATAATGAAGCACCAATTTAAAATATTATTATTACGTCACTCGCTTTAATGTAGAACGCATGTTTGAATATTGCACTAACGTAAATATGAAAAGTTTCGGTAATGTAGAAAGTGGGGCGTTTAAGTAACTGTGATCAACAGTTGTGCATTGGGCATGGGATTCAACTAGGTATTCAAGATATTTTGTACAAAAAAATCGTCAATTTCTGCAAAAAAAACTTAAAAGTAATATGCAATAACAGAGAAAGTGACGAGGAAATACTGATGACACAAACATAACCAATAATGATGAAGACTTTTCCGGCGGGTTTCAAGTTGTAATGAGTGAAGAGAATGACTCTATTGAACTGACTGATGATTTGCGGCCGTTAATCAAAAAGGTGCGCACCGTTGTGAAATTTTTATTTCGCCGACAAAAAATGATCAAAATTCAAAAACGCACGTTAGAAAAATTTGATAAAGATATTCCACTAACACTTGGATCCAAAACTAGCTGGGTTAGCTTGCACACAGTACTCGAACGTTTTGTATAATTAAAAAAATGCATTCACGAGTCACTTTTTGCCCTTGAGTCCAAAGTTGAGGTAACTAATAATGAGTCCGATGCAATATTAGCTGTTAACTTATATCTTGCGCCAGTAAAACTGGCTGTGGAAACGTTGTGCCAAAATCATGCAACTCTGTTGTGTGATACAACATTTTCATGATAGATAACCTTTGAGAAATCGATTTAGCTGTAAAGTTATGTTGGTGCAACAATTCAATGAGCAACGTACTCTTTTTCCAGCATACAACATTTTTTGCACAAGGGACATCAACGTTACAAGAATTTGGATCTAGCTCTATCTTTTGAGCACCATAGCAAATTAGCCATTGTAAATACCATTACTCGACTGAAAGATCGGCTCAATCAAAAAGGGTATAGTCCTCTCCCTTTCACCAGCGTTTTTTCTGATAGTGATTCTGTGGACAACGCTCTAAACTTGTCATTGAAAAAAAGCTTGACTTTGCAATTTTGAAAATAAAGAAATGTAAAAACAAGGGAAAATTGAATGTTTCGAATAATTCATCAAAAATTATATGTATTGAAATAGGAATTTTTGAAGAAGGAGGAAATCGTTGCATATATTTGCAAAATTCCTACCATTACTTAAAAACTGTGAAGCCAACAAAATTAGATGATCTTTTGAAGATGATGTTCTGAACGCCCTATGTTTTTTACGGGCTCATTTTACAAAGCAGACAAAAGCGAAAAATGAAAAAGTCAGTAGTTTTGATATAAAATAAATAAGCTGATTGAATCAATAAAATTTTTACTATTAACTTGAGATTTTATTTAGATTATGATAAATTTAAAAATAAAGTTTAATACCGGTATTATACCGGTATTACCGGTATTGTAATTATTTAGTACCGATATACCGGTATTGAAAAATGGTATCGGTATTGGAAGCACTAATGCATTGGGCATGTGTCTGTTGATATAATGAATCAGGGAACATAACTTCAAACATTTTACCATCTCCATTACTTGAGGCAAAAGAATAGGTAGACCACTTAAGACTACAAATGATTTCAGCTTTTAAAAATTCTTCTTTAACAATAAAATTAGTGTTTGGAGCTTTTAATTCAAATATTTTATTTTTATCTTTATAGAATTCTGTTTGCACTTCTCTTTCATCAAACCTTAATGTGTGAAGTTTGTTAATTGCATGGCTTCTTACTTGTCTAGCTCCACTTCCACTGAGAGAAAACGCTTTTTGGAATAATTTGCAACTTGCAGAATACTGATCAACAAGACAAACTTGTATTCTCCCACTATTCTATTCTTCCACTTTTTATAATATTTTGTTTATCTTAAAAATTCTTATAAAAATAAATAAACAATTAAAGTAGAGTTTAACAAAGTAATCTTATATTTAACAAATTTTTAAAGTTTTCCAAAAATTTTTTATAACTTTTTATGTTTTATAGACTGAGCGAAAAACAACAATAAATTTGACAATTGTTGATATTATTATTATATTTTAATAGATATACTTCCGCTGCCGCTTATTTAAGTGATTGCTAAAAATTCAAAAAAAAAATAGATATAGAGGATAGATATTTACAAAACACATTCTAATACATTAACATATCTATGTACTCACATGAAAAACGTTCTATAAATCTAATATTGGTTATAAAATTAGCATTTATTTAAAAAAAAACTTTTAAAAATTTAGAAATATTTTGGACATTACCCTATAAGTTATGGTATTTTGTGACAAAATAGTAAAATTTTAAAAGTTTAGGACATTTTATATATAGATAAATATATATATATATATATATATATATATATATATATATATATATATATATATATATATATATATATATATATATATATAGATATATATATATATATATATATATATATATATATTTATATATATATATATATATATATACATATATATATATACACGTTTATATAATAAATACATATATATACGTGTATATATATATATATATACGTGTGTATATATATATATATATATATATATATATATATATATATACATATATATATATATATATATATATATATATATATATACATTTATTATATATATATATATATATATATATATATATATACATTTATTTATATATATATACATTTATATATATATATATATATATATATATATATATATATATATATATATATATATATATATATATAAATATACATATATATATATATATATATATATGTATATAAATATATATATATATATATATATATATATATATTTATATATATATATATATATATATATATATATATATATATATATATATATATGTATATGTATATATATATATATATATATATATATATATATATATATATATATATATATATATATATATATATATATATATATATATATATATATTATACTTGATAGCAAGGGTATAGTTATCCGAAATCCGAAAACATTTTTAAAAAAATTTTAAAATAAAGAGTTATTCCGATGAGAATTTCCGATGTAGTTTGAATAGCTGACAACAAAGTTTTTGATACATTTCATATTATTAAATTGATTTCATTCTTTTTATAGACAATTGGTGTGAAGAAACATGTCAAAATCGGTAGACCCGATGGTCAATATCGCAATCCTTGGAACTGCCATAGTTACATTTCTTGTTCCAGTCAAAATAGTTTACGCAAATCTAAGGTTTTATATTGTTTTGATCCTGAGTATGTTTATAATCCTTATGATGATTTCTGTGAAAATTCTTCATTTTTTCCATGTCGTTCTGTTTACATGGGTGAGTATTTTTCTGTTAATTTAATTTAGAAAAGTTAAACAAAATAACTTAAATAAAATTTTAATTTTTTTTTTTTTTTGCTATTTTACTAGATAGGTATCATATTTAATTGAGCATTAGTTGTAAAATGTAGTTGTAATATTTTTTTGTTCACAAAAATCTTAATAAATTGAATTATACTGTTGTTTTTTTACACTGTAATTATGTATTGAAAAGTAACCAAAAAAGTTAAATTGCAAATTAGAATTTGCTTAGTTGTAACAATAGTGGAAATGTAAGCAAATGCTTGTGAGAGTATTTCTTATCCTTTTTTAGTTAAATTTACTCCCAAAACGGATGTTAGTAAGTACAATTGAATTTGGAGATTTTGGAAAACAAATATTAGAGTTTAAGATCAAGGAAACGAGTCAAAGGTTTAAGGTTGTATGATCAGGTAGGCCCGATGATGGGAGTGACTTGCAAAGGATTTTTTAAAAAAAAAATTCCGAGTAAACAGTCTTTAAGAAAACTCCTTTTCTTTGGGTAAAGTTTAGTGAGATTTGTTGTCTATTTATTGCTGCATTTGCTAAGTTTACATTGGTAAATTAAGAAAATTTCATTTTATTCAGAGAAAAGTCAAGAAAAAGAAGATCAAAAGTTGTCAACCCACTCTGTGTACAGTATAACTGAAGACATGGTATGATCAGGACCGATTTTCCATTTTCTTTAATCTAATTTTTTCACTGGGCTATCTTTTTATCAGGACTTCATGAAACATAATTTGCATAGTTAGTATTCAACATAATTAGGTATTTAGTGAACATAACTAGGTATTTGGTTTACATAACTAGGTATTCGTTTAACATAATTAGGTATTCGGTTAACATAATTAGGTCTTTCACAAAATGTTTTTTTCTTACTTCTAACTTGGACTCCATTTCTTAAAAATGTACAACGTTGAAAGAAAACAATATTCCATTAATTTACAAATATTTACTGGTTACACTTCACATTTTTATAATGCAATTTTATTTAACCAAAACCATCAACGAAATCTGAACTTTTAAATGATATTTTACCTTTTTTAATATATTTTTTTTTTTAATGATAATTATCCCATAGATAGGTTCAGTGGTGCACCAATATAATAATTATTTTAAAAAAATAAAGCAGGACCAAGGATAAAACATCGAGGTATCCCAGATGTGACTAAAAATGAAAAAGAATGTTAATTATAAACAAAAAGAATAGTGCTTTTCTAGTAATTTAGCTTTATCCTCGAGAGAGGTAAGATCATGACTAAGAGCTAGAGAGATTTCCAAGTCTCTTGAGTCTTACTTCTAAGAAAAGATATGAGGTTTAGTAATCTGAGAGTAATTAAGCTATGCATCAAGCAGCACTTTTTTTACATTGTAAATAATAAAAAGGCGTTTGTTCTCAAGAGTGTCGTTCCTTTAAAAAAGATAAACATTATGATTACGATTAGATTGACCAGCTATAGGAGTTGAAAACCTTGGAGTAAAATGAGACTTGATTTGGAATTGACCAGAAGGAACAAAGATTCTATACCTGCCTGGATCCAGGAAGTTAGGTAATGAACATTTATTAGTGAAAAGAGAAACAATATTAGACCAAGTATCGTTGGTAAAAAAATCACAAAAAGAATCCTGGTCAGCCTTAGAGTAGTACTAAATTGTGCGATGATAAAGTGAATCCGAAGAAGCAGCACAAGATAAAACATTTATAAACATTATTGCATGGTTGCACCACCTAAAGAAAGATATGTTGAAAAAAGTGAAGATTAGTAGTTAAGTTTTCTGGACTTTAAGTCATAAAGTTAATTATCTGAGTAAAAATCAAAAAATAAATAAAATATAAGTTTTAGTGCTAGCAGGGTTAATGGTGTTAAGCTAAGCCATTAAGTGTGATGAGCATAAACCTCATAAATAACAGCAGTTTTGTCAGAGGCTTCTATGGGTAGGGCATAATTTTGAGAAGAAGGAGAACAATAGAGGACATAGAATAAGTTAATTGAGTAAAGAGGTGCTAAGCAGAAGGTCATAAAAGAATTGTCAGAAGATTAAAACTTGATTACTCTACAAATAGACCAAAGTCCAGACCAAGCCTGTAACTATTAGAGTTTTTGCTAATCAAAGGAAATTACTCGTCGATACAGAGATTTAAAGAAGTTTTAGCCATAATCAAATTAGTTTCACAAAGAGCAAGAAAGTTTTGTAATTTTTGCAAGAGATAAGATTCAAGTGATGGAAATCTACTTTACAGATATTAGTTTTGGATGTGATGATGGTTTTTTATGTATCTTATTATGTTTAATTCGTTTGTGGTTTAAGTTAAAGAGAATTTTACTCATTCTTAGATTTAGCATGGCATCCTAACCATTGAATTATGTAGCTGTAAGAGTCTTGCTACTTTACCAAAAGTTGTATTTTTAGTCGCATCTTGTTCTCTCAGCAATGCACACCAAAACCACTAACATCATCCATCAACAACATTGCACTGTTACGACTCTAATATCTTACTCGTCTTGATGGAATCAGCTCCTCTAAAAGCTACCACAGCGTTCGGAAAATCTTACTAACCTAACAGTTGGCCTCGGAACCATTAAATTAATTTTTAGGGTTGTACCCCCATCAGGTGATAACATGAAAAATTCCATAGACTCTATCAAGGAGGCACAACCAAAAATCTCTGAGTAGAATCAAGAAGATCCAGCATTCATCATCCTAGACAGGATGACATTAGTTGGAAATATTAAAAATTAAAGCATGTGTCTCGATAAAAATACTTATGTGCCCAAGGTAGAAATTTAGGACAGAATTTTGAAATTTTTAAAGAAATGCAATCAGTATTTATAACTAAAGTTGGGCGGGAATAAGTAACTGCTGGAACCTCGCATCTGGACTGGGACCAGGTCTGATTACACAAAAGTATTTTTTTTTCAAATTTTTGAAAAAAGGCTTATGAAATCTTTTGCACTGCTAAAATGGCGCTCAAACTAAAATTCTGTTAATTTATCTTTACTATTAATACATTTAGTTTAGTTTACCGTTATATTATTACCATTAACAGGGTTCTCGTTAGAGGCTTTCGATCGCACGCCTTATATGACCACGCATATAGTTTTTTGTTTTAACAACTTGACCACTGCTCATTGCAAGTTTTGATAATTTTGCTGAATGGAATATGCCAATAATATGGATTTTTCTAATGGGTTGATGCAATAAAATACTTGTTGTATTTCACTTTTTGCATTGATGTTCTTTGATAAAACACTTTGACTACTTTTACAGAGTGATAAAATACTTTGACTACTTTTACAGTGTGATTCGAATCGTTGTGTTGCTGAAAAATCCATTTTATTGGCATATTCCATTCAGCATAAGGTAACATATTATCTTCCAGGATATTTTTATACATGAAACGGTCCATTATTTCATCAATTCTAAAAAAAATCTTTCAATTCATTCATTCAATCAAATCATTCAATTTCATCAATTATAAAAAAAAAAAAAAAAAAAAAAAAAAAAAAAAATTCGATGTATTGGATCTAGTCCTTCAGCAGAGAAAA